AGGAGAGAATAATAAAATGAAATACCTTGGCAGCGGTGGGATTCGAACCCACGCCTCGAAAGACTGGTGCCTAAAACCAGCGCCTTAGACCACTCGGCCACGCTACCACAATGCTTTCACGTGTTTCACAACTAATGAATTTCCTTCTGAATGATAAATTAGCTAATATTTAAGCAGGAGTGTTACTTACATATTCGAAATGAATAATTCTTAAGCAACAGTAGTAAATGTGAAAATGATTTTTAATGCACTTATGATAGTTATACTAGTTTATAAATAAAGTATGAAGAACAGATAACAAATAGATTCTTCACTCAGAAACTAATTAAAAGAATTAATGATTTTCGTTCTTTTTCAGTCATAAAAGTTTATGAAAAAATCCCAAACAATTTGAAATAAAAAAAAAAAAAAACTGTTTTTTTAACTATAATTTTAGCTTTTAAGATTTAGTTATTTTAACATTAAATATTTTTACTATACAATTTTGGTTTGATGAACCTTCTAACATTGAATAAAAATGAAGTTACTCTTACTTATTAATTCATTCTGATTATTTCAAATACAAAGATTAAAAAGCGGTATTAATTAAGCTCACTAGTATTTGTCAAAAACATTACAAAAAATATTTTTAAAAATCATTTTATAAACAGCATTTTCCGGCAATCTGATAAATATCCGCTATTTTATGCGTAAAGGCATGCGTGATGGTAATCTGAACTTCCTCCAACACAACCGAAAAAATCTCACAGAACAAGGGAGGATGGGTTTCACAGCTGATTCCATTACTTCCGAAGCGTCGCGGTAGCCTAGTGGTCAAGGTCGCGGACTCGCGGCCGGCTGTTTTCGTTCAGTCGCGGGTTCGATCCTTGGCCACCAAAGACCCGCCGTGTAGCCGGGGCTGATGCACGTTAAATCTGTTCGGGGCCCAAAGTCCTGTTGGCGTGGTGTGGATGTTAGGAGAGGGGGATGCTAGCTCAGGTGTTTTCCACGTCACTTGACCGTGGTTCAAAATTACGAGGTCTGTCGCCAATAGCCCTCGTGTTGCTTCTAGTGCGACGTTAATAAGAACTAAATCAGAAATTCATTACTTCCGATGGAAATCTTGGAGTTAATGGAGAAAGAATCACCTGAGAAAGGTGACAATTACCCCCACATAAACAATTTACTCTTACATCGGTTCCAATTTACACATGTGACTCTTAGAGATAGATTTGAATCCCCAGCGAAGACCAGGTGTCCAAATTGTGGTCCAATTTAGTGTATGATTTAAGGTTCTACCTGGACAATTGGTTAGCCGAGATGAAGGATTAAAAGAGCTAATGTTAACTGAAAAGTTGAAAAAGAGAGCCCCTA